TACGGAATGGCAAATAAATCCGATTTGCTGCCTACAGTCACTACACTCAAAGGATTCAAAGTACGACTTGGCATCGCAGCAAAGGAAAACCATTGAAACAGACCAATGGCAATCTCGATGTTGAGAACAAGTACATATCCTAGTCACTTGGCACTTTACACGAAAGTCGAAATTCATACCACATCCGAACGAGGCTGGAGCATTGTTGCTCTCTACCTAACCAAATCAGCACTCATCACATTCGATCAGAAACCTTGATACAATCTCCCAAAAACGATCGTGATCAACGACAACCGTTTAAGAATAGGTTCATATCGACGATTCCAGCTTCTTGGTCGTCCAAATCCAAACAACGGATAACAATCCTTCTTCCTAATCAAGGAAAACAAATGCTCGCAACTTCTAAATGAAAAGCAGCTACATCCATCCTCCATTACCTAAATTCTTTAAAAAACTAAAACTCTCTAAGCCCCGGATGGGTGGAACCAGGTCTAAACTGAATTATATTTTTGGTTATTATTATGATATTTTATCTCTATAAAATATTGAATACTAACCAATTATACTCCATCAACTAACAACCCACTTTTTTGTAAGTGCTGAAACTACTTGTAGTTTGAGCACCAGAATAATTTGAATTAAACTTAAAATACAGTTGCCTTCTCCAAAGAGACCGGATCGTATAAACCAGTATTCACTAGAGTAAGATTAAGATTGGTATTAGACTAAGAAGTTGCACGAATCTATCCGGACGAAAATAAGATAGCGTGACGAGCAGACGGTGTACCTTATCTGAAATTACTCTATGAGTATAACCAATAGGTCATAACTCAAAAGATATCCCCCTCCAGTTAAACCCCCTCTCTCCCCTCCTTCTATTTACATTTTTTAAGCCTCACCCCCAGCCTACCAACCCCACCCCCAACCCCAACCCTTACCCAGCATACGCCCCCACATACGTATTTTAACCAACTCCTACCCATGATCAGTAACCCCCCATCCCCAACCCCATTCAACCAATAGCTCCCTCTCCTCCATTTTGAACGTGAGAGGGGGGTTTGGGCGAATGACAAATTTTGTAAGTTGGTAAAATTTCTTTCAATCCCTTCGAACCACAATCAACTATTACACCCAACTCCCCCCCCCCCCATGGTGCGCTAACAGTTAAAATTTCGTTCGTTAAATGGAGGGGTAAGATTTCTGGGAGTATGATTTGGGGAGATTGATTTAGTGGTAGGAGGGGGTGGGGTGGGTGTTGTGAAGTTTGGGGTGGGGGGTTAAATTCCGTTCAACCACCCTAAAAAACACGTTCAATAATTACCCCAACCAACCCCACCCGAACCCCCCTCCCCGACTTGTGCAATAAGTAGTAGGGTATGAGATGAAACTTTATTCAATTCCACTGCCGGCAGCACAACAAGAACCACCCACTCACCATACGGGGGAGGGAGGGGGGTTGTGAGTCGTTGAGAAAGGTTGAATTTAGGGATGAGAAAGTCTGAGCAAATTGCGATTGTGATAGAAAATAAATTAAATAGTAAGTCGCCAGATATTGAAAAATTTCGACAGAGACTAGAAAAACCTAAAATTTAGACTACAAAAACCTAAAATTTATTATGAGATGTAATTCATAACAAATGAACTAAACAGTAAATGAAATAATTATAAAACCAATTTGCAACTTGAGTCAAAATCTGCAAAAAATCGTTTATAATCAAATTTAATCGAATATAATGGATCATATTGATATAAAAACATTAAAAATACGATTCATTTTAAAATCAAATAATTTTTAACGAGGAGAAAAGAATGGTAAATTTTCTTGTCCGAACAGTAACAGGAAAACAGAAAAAGGATGACGTACAAAACGGGTGGAAACAGGAAACCGCGTCGGGAAAGATTAATTAAACAGGTTGTCATTAAAATTAAAATCAGTGCATATAAAATATTTAGGTTTCCTGGTGCCTCGGATACACAACAAGATGCTTTTCATTAAAGAAAAATTTATGCGAATGCGTAGCCACTTTATGGCTTCAGATTGGGTAGCATTTTTTTTGATGACAATTAAAAAGGCTAGTTGGGATAGCATCTTGTAGGTAAGAGGGGAGGCGCCGCCCAGACTGCTGAAAACTAATGGTGTAAATGAGCCGTTTTCGATGTTCAAAATACGTTGCTGGTACATATTGATCTTTTCGCGTTCATGTCTACGATAAATCTGCGCATATTCGCCAGCATTGCTACGGGCTAGAGGATTAAAAACTCTAACATCAAAAAATGCCCGTTGGCCATGCTGCCAAAAACTCGAAGCAGAAACATCCAGTCTGGCGCCGTCATTCAAGTTCCCTCTGACGTTATCGTTGTCATTGAGGGGATGAAGATGAGGTTCGACTTCCGTATCCGGACAGACTCCACGCAAGACGCCAGCTAAAAGGTCACGGAGGTCGTTGTGTCGCCGTCCGACAAAGCCTCCGGCAGCGCACTGAAGGGCGTGCTGAATACTGAAGTCTGCGCTACAGACACACTTCGTGGGCAAGTGTTCGAGGTTCACTCCGCATCGCATCCTTGCAAGATCACGGAACTCATGGCGGCTGAATAAGAAACCGTTATCTCTGTCTGGTCTCGCCGTTAGCCAGTGAGAAGCGCCCTTTTCACAAACTCCAGAGTTGATGAGTTTCAGCTTTTCCTTGACTGTAGACATCAGGTCAACGTGAGTTGTTTTCTCCAACTCACTTTTCGCGCGCTTAATGGACTGCGCTCCTTCTCTATAGCTATTAGTCTGGAGGGTACTTTCCTGCGATATTATTTGCGTGACTAATGACGCTGTGGCTGCCTGTGAGCCGGTAAACCGAAACCGCTCGTAAGACGTCGGATTCTCGATAGCCATCCCGCCTAACTGAACAGGTAGCGACGTCAGAGTACGGGTTTCGTCTGAAATCTCGCATCCGAAGAGAGAGGGGAGCATCTTATCCTTGATAGAGGATTCAAGGGGGGTCCAGGTATCGGAGGGAGTGTCAACGACCCGTTGGATGTATGCCCCATTTCGCTGTAGACTAATAGTATATCCAGCGAAAGCACAGTGTGGTTCAGTCTCAGCCATTTCGGAGAGTCTCTCAACGAGAGTGCAGTATTCCTGGCATTTCTGAGTGGTATAAGCCAGTTTTTCGCTCTCATCGCCGACAAACCCTCCAAGATACTTACGGCCAGTGGCGATCTTAACACCAGTATCTTCAAAAAGGAGAGTGGCGGCATCGAAAAATTCAGGCTTGACGACAAGGTAGGTTTTGTTAGCGTTAGGGTAGAAACCGTATCCAGGCCCTTCTTCCGCGAGGGCGTTCCACCAGCTATGGAGGGTCTTAAGTCTGCCGGCACCAGCTCCGTCGTCGGCGTAGAAGACACGCTTAGTGTCGGACTTCATGTAGACCAGGGGAATGGTGGCGATGCCATACAGGCACATGGCCTCAGCATCTCCATGTGTAGTCCCCTCCTCAGAAAGAAACATCTCGTTACCGGCAAACATCATGGAAGGCTGTCTATAAGTGTTCGAGAAGAAGTTGGCCAGCTTGGGACACAAAACCTGGTCGTTTCGCAGAGCAGCGGCACGATTCAATTTATTGAACGCGTTCTCGGCATCGACAAAGAGGATGCCCTCACATTCGGTGCTCTGAAATATGGTGTTCATGGAGTGAACAGCGGCTTCGATGCCGCCGGGGTGCCCAGCACAGGTCTGAAGAGGGCCCACGGTGCTACGGATTTCATCCTTCATTATGCTCATGATAGCAGAAGTGATGATCCGTCTGAAAACATCTCCTATGCCGATAGGCCTGATGCCTGGGTTTTTGTCCAGTGCAATAGCACGGGAAGCAAGGAGGGGAGCCAAAGCATTAGGGTCGATGTTGGATCGCATCATGGACTGACCCAAACTAGAAAGCTCAGTGCAGAGGTCATTTGTTCCGGTGAAGCTTCTGGAGCAAAGGATGCGACGAGCGTTGACTGAATTTACGCCGGATGGCCCGGCCCCTCCACTACACCTGAGTGCCGTTTTTCGGATGAGCTCGCCCGTGAGATTATAGCTAGCGGCTATTGTGGGCCTGTCGACAGGTCCATGAAGAATTGTACCGAGCTTGATGTCTGCTCCAGTTGGATGTTTCTGTTTAAGCGCGTCAAGAACCTCGGTCGAAATTTCTAGTGGCTTGCTATTAGTTTCCAGCATGTTGGTAGCGGTGCTGTATTTACCATTTAAAATAAGGGAGCTATAACGTTTAGCGTCAATTTTATTGGGCCCAGTGGCCCGGTTAATATCGATATCAAAACGTTGCTGTATTTCCCTCCTTTCTTTCAGTAAGATACATAAATCACCGTCATGCCAAGAGTTGATTCTACGTAGCAAAACTTTCAAGTGGTCACGGCTTTTAGATTGCTTAGCTGGTTTTTGTAACAGGAGTGGGGGAATTACGGCAAACGCAAAAAGAGCACTTTTAGCACCTGGCACATTGCTGTTAAAGGTATGCAATAAGCGCACCAACTCTGCGACGAATTGGTTCCCGGCATTGCCAGTGGGTAGGGCAAATAGATTTTGTCGCAGTTTTCCGATTGAGTGAAACATTCTACCAGCTCATCATGTGGCAAATTCATACCTCTCGTTGTCTTCAGATTACCATCATTGATGTGCTGGTAGGGTGGCAGGTCCCTGAACGTCCAAGGATTCATGTCCTCCTTTGTTGTGTCCGGTCGCAGTGTTAGATCACTCATCGCCTGCGTTAGTCCCGATGGCTGGTTCAGGCAGGTCGGGCACACGAAGTGTTCTTCTCGTGGGATGTTGTTCACGTATCTTTCTGTTGTCCCTGCGCAGGAATAGTGGAACCAGTGAAGGCAGATTCCGCAAAAGACTCCTTTCTGAACAACGAGTCCCCCGAATCTGTATCGTTGCTTCCCGCATGGCGATGAATTTGATCGAACGGATCGTCCGGTCATCGCTGCACACTCATTTCATTTATTTGAAACTATTTAATAAGTTTATCACAACAATTAGGCTAAAATAATTTTTAACCGAATATTTTTTAATTTTATAGATACAGACTATAAAATGACAATTTAATTGATTATGATCCATAGGAGCTCGGTGCGGATAAGCTAAACTCAGTTTTCTGAAATTTTTTTTTAAATCTCAATGATTGCTTTGTGTAAAAGTCAGAATTGTCTTTTATGTATAATAAAAAAAATCTGTTACACAAATTTGTCAAAAAACAAGGCCACAATTTCCAACCGAGTTTTCAAATTAGAAGCTTTCTAGCTTGATACAAAAGTTAAGATTTTTTTTTAAAAATTTATGTGTTAGTCTATTAGTCAATTTTGATGGCAAGAAGCAGATTATCCGTGAGAGTGTTGCCTATGTTATTTATCTATTTAATTTTTCAGTGAGAGTTACCCCATAATTACCCCAACCAACCATGACCATACAATTTCGACCAAACATATAATTGAATGAAATGTATGACCCATAGGGTCTTCTTACTTATTCCGCACAAAAATCAATATTTCAACATCTTGAAACGAATTTTTGTTGCTTCCATGTGATTGGCTAGAATTAGCCAATCAAATGTCTGTACCATCTCACAAAGTTTTGTTCACAATTTTATCTTGAAATATAAATGAGGCGAATGGGCTTAAAATGAAGAATATTTGGTGAACTACTCAAAATTATTTCAAATACGCCCCAGAGTCTTAACCAGATAAAATAAAACACAAAAACAGCTCTGGGGTAAAAATGATAGCCTTCGTATGTGCTCAAATATCGGCCTTGTTTAAATTCGGCTCGAGAGTAAAGTGATCGCATTTGTTGTAATCAAATTAACCAGTGCAGTCTATCAGTGTGTTGTTTTCAGTACTTTAACATTGAATATTAAAAAAAATAAGAGATTTGGGCTGAATAAATAAAAAGACCTGGGAATAATAAGAGAACTGTATGACCAGCATTTTTTGCGTAGCCTGGTGAACAATAACTTTTTCAGCTACAACTGTCGCGGCCAAGGGTCTGTATGGTTTCTCCGTTTGCACGACTGGAGGCTGGTGCTGGCTGCGAGAACTCAAAACCGATGACAATATGTACCAGGTATCAGTATAAAACACTTTCATATCAAACTTGACTTCACGGTTTGAAAACGGTTTAAAGTTCACTGTTGTAATCTTTAAAAAAATTATGGATCTACTTAAAAATCTCCGCTCTATGGTATCTACTTAAGAATATCTATCCCTGTGAATAAATACAGTAAACTAGCGCTAGAGTTTTGTATTGAGAGTTAAAATTTTGCTGCATTCTGATTGGTTGATACCAACTTAATCTACTTCTCAATCTCCCCCTTTTCTGAAAAGGGAGAGGGAGAAATTGCTAAATAGATCCAAATAATAACCAAAAGAAACAACAGGCGTTCTTCAAGTTTTAAGCTAGCTATACCAACATTGAAGTTATTATTGTTCAGACTTTTGCAAGAAGTGACGGACTATTCAGGCTCGGAGTTATTTTTTCCAAACAAATCCGAACTTTTAATTAGTTGTTTTTGGCATTTATTTTGACAATATTTGATTTTTTTTTTGAAATTGCTGACGCAAAATTAGAAGACTCAAAAAACCAAAAATTATTTTCTTAAGCTCTCTCTCAGATCGCTAATAGGGCCGCATTTAAAGGACCTCTTTAGGCCTGTTTTTGGAAAGTTTTGTATCCCAAAAAAATTGAGTTTCAGCGCAATTATCCTTCTAACAACGTCAGCCAAAAATACCACAAAGAACCTCCAAATCAGTACTAAAAGGATGGACATTTGGTGGTTAAGGCGTCCACCCCCAACCCCTTCCTACGTTTGCCTGCGATTTTCTTTATTAAGCTATAGGGGATTTCAATATGGGAAAAAATTAGTCATTTGAGATAACTATCACGCAATATATTTCGTCTTTATATTGCGTAAGCGGCGTCTTACATCATCCCATTTCCAAGAATATGCATATTGAAAATAAAGGGTTTTAAAGCATTTTAGTATTGTAATTCTCAAAGTGTGTAAGAGTTTTAAATTGTCAAGTTTTCTAAACATTATAATCTCCTATAATCAGTTGTACTTGATTATAGTTCATACAAACAAAAACATGTTTCAATCAATTATATTTGCCTATCACTTTTCGGTTCATCTGAAGACAACTTTAAATACGAATTAAAAATTTTGTAGAAATCCCTTAATATTAACTGAAAAAAGCCCGCGTTAGGTAAAAAACATTTCTACCAAAAATTGTCAATCGAAACCAATGCTCATCTTGAACAAATTGAGCCTTGTTTTATAAAAAGGGAGCTTGAGCAAACTTTAATCGAGAAAAAAACCAAAAAGTGAAAAAAATTTAAATTGATATGAAAGCTGCCACAGCATTTTTTGCGAATTTTCACATTAGCCAACGGCCATGAAAATCATAACTTAGAAGGAACTCAGATGCAAGGTTGAAGACAATAAGGGCAAGAATAAAGGATTATAATAAAATAAAATCTGTTAAAACGTTTCTTACATAACAAACGAAATATAAACAAGTGTGAAAACGATTAAAATAAATCGGAAAAAATTTAATAGTAGTCATTCATAGTAAATTGAAATATTTTATAATTGTTTATAAACCCTTATAAAATGAAAATGACCAAGTTAACGTCCCTCCCCCACCAAAAACTTTTTGGGGGGAGTATGTTAACTCGGCTCTAAGTTGGGATTTTTCAGCCAATCAGAATCGTTCATTTTACAAGTAGCGCTCAGCAAATTTAATTTAAATTAAGCGCTGGGGTGGAGGTCTATTTACTTGGTCTATTTGAAGGGGGGATGAAGTTAGTTCAACGAGAGAGATTATAGTCGATTATTGTTCGAAAATATAAACGATTTTTTTCATCATTTTTAGAAGGACTGGTGCAAAAGTTAGACAGTACTTGATTCTTAAGGTTCAAAACTGGATGTAAGATTGCAAATTGAGTTGCGGCAAGCAAGTTTTCTCTTGTTAACCCGGGTTGACCTCCATAGACCGAAATGCTAATCATACATTTTCATACACTTAGTCTGTGCAAAAATGCTAGTCATACAAATTTCATACATTTTTGCAAAATGAGTTTGATCGAACTTCAAAGGTATTTTATAATTGTTTTGGTATCGAAATTGGTATCTTTTCATTAAAAAAAGGAAAACAAATGGTATGAAAAAAATATATGGAAATTGTATGATTAGAATTTTAAAAAAAAAAATTTTTGTGAAAAAAAAAGCTTTGAACAATCAATTCAACTGCTGGCAAAAAATTTAAGCGTTTTTTGGGCTGCTACGAATAAAAACTTTGACTTTTTTTAATTTTTGTTTTCTGAAAAAAATAGTAGTCATATAATTTCCATATTGACATGGATGACTAGCATTTTTTTGATGGCGACGACAAAAAGTTTTCTAAGTATTTTTGAAATTGCCCCAAAAAAATTGCCCCAAAAATTGCCTCAACTGCGGGTATTTTTCCTGTAATTCAGGAATACTTATGCTATCCGATCCAATGCGAATATGATCCTTAACATAAGCTCGAAAAGAAAATGAAAAATCACTGTTATTCGTTTCGGCGGAAACTTGAAAACTCACTTGATGAGTTTTCATCACGCTCGTGGAATTGAATCCATTTATGGTGAGGTTAACGGGAGTGCCAAACAAATGGAGGCGTTTTACGAGATCGGCGGATACCCATGAGTGCGTGGAAGCACTATCGCAAAGAGCTAGGGCGTTAGTAATCGTCGCATCCGCAGAGACGGCGAGTGATGCAACTGGCAGGAGGCCTTTAGTTGACTCCTGGCTATGAATATAGCCGACGGCAGCGTTAGTCGATACATGTTTAGCGTTTGCGTTACCTGACGCCGGGGAACTTTTAGTATCCTTAGGAGGAAAAATTTTCTCCGCTCCATGTAAGAGCACGTTGTGTGTGCCTTCACAATCTGGCTTCGGGCACTTTCTGGCCTTGCTACAATTACGAAAACTGTGATTGCTCAGTAAACACGAAAAGCAACGTTTTTGTTTGGCTACATGTTTTGCTCGCTGCGTAGCGTTTTTCTCTTTGAGTGCGGCGCAATTCCAAAGAGCGTGTTGACCTTTACATACGGAACATGGAGGGCACTTTGGTTTTTCCTTAGTCTTATTACTTAAATTTGCGTTACTAGCACACACTTTCGTACCTATTTTTTGCTTAACTGGTTCTTCAGACTTACTCTTAGAATTGATCGTTTTTAGCCTCTCATGACCCTCCGCTTTTTCTTTAAGCCATTCGTTGAAATCTAGCAGAGTTGGTCTATGCCATTGACGTCTTACGGTTTGCATTGACCATGCCTCCTTAAGGTTCGGGGGAAGCTTACTCACAGCTTGATTCAGTAAGTTAACACTTTCCAGGTCGTCGTTAAAAGACAGGGACTTGAATACGGCAACAAGTCCAGAAATTGCAGAGGAAAATCCCATTACATTTTCCGAGTTATGCATTTTCAGCGGCGGAAAATTACTCAATTTATCTAGATGAGCCCCTACTACAGCATGCGGCTGTCCGAACTTTCTTTGAAGAGTTGCTAATGCGTTTTTATATAGTACTCCGCTATAGCTATACTCAGCGATTCCGGCTTTTGCTTTACCCACTACGAGCGTTTTCAGATAGGTAAGCTTTTCATCGTTACTGAGTATGGCTGAATCGACCGTCGATTTGAATTGCCCAAACCACTCATTCCAATTAAGTGGGTTGCCATCGAACTGGGTCAGCTTCCACTCAGGGAGATGATCTTTTCGGCTGTGCATGAGCATATTAACCAACTCTCGTGTCGAAAGTGGACGCTCGATGTCTGCACCAGGTGAATTATTGGGAGTTGGCTCTGTGTAACTCAAAGAGTTACCGTGACAATCAGGAACGAACGGTTGATTAGCATGTGAAGAATTTTCAGGCTGTGCAAAGAACACAGTCCCTCCACTTGTATAAGGAACAAAATTATTCGGAGGAACAATCGGAGTTACTGCGGAAAAAACAGTTGTCGAAGGAACGTAGTGCTGTTGAGTTGACATTAAAGGGGCAGCAACAGCTGGTCTCCACAAATTTATTATAAGGATTGTAGTGGTCACTTAAATAGTTATAACTACTAACGGGAACACCCATATGTTGTTGTGATGGGGCTACAGGTGCTTGGTAGCCAGCTACTATTGATCCTGCAGTGTGATGACTTAAAGAAACCTGATTAACTGCTGTTGATGCAGGAACGAACGGTGCTACACCAGAAGGAACTTCTGCAGATGTTGTCGGAGCAAAATAATTTTCAGAAATTACCGGGACTAATGACCCTGTGTTTGGGTTGCCTAGCACCGGATGAGTGGACAGAAAAGTTTGCTGAGTCAAATTATTAGAAACAGGTTGAATGACCTGCTGTAACCCTACTGGATTGTTAACGGAAACCTGCGATCGGACCCAATTCGACAAATTATGTTGTTGTTCGTGAATGTGCTTACTGTAAAACATGTTTCAACCAATTATATTTGCCTATCACTTTTCGGTTCATCTGAAGACAACTTTAAATACGAATTAAAAATTTTGTAGAAATCCCTTAATATTAACTGAAAAAAGCCCGCGTTAGGAAAAAAACATTTCTACCAAAAATTGTCAATCGAAACCAATGCTCATCTTGAACAAATTGAGCCTTGTTTTATAAAAAGGGCGCTTGAGCAAACTTTAATCGAGAAAAAAACCAAAAAGTGAAAAAAATTTAAATTGATATGAAAGCTGCCACAGCATTTTTTTGCGAATTTTCACATTAGCCAACGGCCATGAAAATCATAACTTAGAAGGAACTCAGATGCAAGGTTGAAGACAATAAGGGCAAGAATAAAGGATTATAATAAAATAAAATCTGTTAAAACGTTTCTTACATAACAAACGAAATATAAACAAGTGTGAAAACGATTAAAATAAATCGGAAAAAATTTAATAGTAGTCATTCATAGTAAATTGAAATATTTTATAATTGTTTATAAACCCTTATAAAATGAAAATGACCAAGTTAACGTCCCTCCCCCACCAAAAACTTTTTGGGGGGAGTATGTTAAC